ATCCCCGCATCCCACAGGAACATCCCCATCCCCGCACACCTTGCGCCTGGGGCAGCACGACGACGTAGCTGGAGAGCCGCACATCGCAGGCGGTGCCGCACTCCAGCGGGATGGGGTTGCGGTGGAAGTGGTGCAGCATCTCCACGATGGATGAGAAGCGCAGGTGCTGAACKCGGCACTGCCCGCGCTCCGTCAGCGCCAGCCGCAGGTGCTGCAGGACGAGTGAGGAGCTGTCACCCTCCCTTCTGGAGGAGACGGGGCGGGGGACGCTTTGGGGATATTTGGGGTGGGTTCCACGGGGATTTTGTCCCCCCGTGAGGGGCAGGGCACCATCCCGCTGCAAGCATCAAGGCAGAGACACGGAGAGCCGGGGACACAGTGGGATGGGGACTGTCCTGCAGCAACGGGGGCTGTCCCAGCGGCTCCTGCGAGCTCCCCCTCCCCAGCCCAGCCCCTCCCCGACCCCACCATACCTTTGCTCTGCCCTGGAAGTTGAAGGTGAGCACGTACTCGCCGCGCCGCGTCTCGCTCTGGCGCACCAGGAACACGCCGTGGCCCTCCAGCCCCCCCAGCTGCACCAGCTGAGCCGCCTTCACTCGGGAGATGGGCCCGTGGAACCAGGGGCACGACGAGAGGAACTGCTCCATCTTCGGCCCCGCCGCCTCCCCCGGGCCCCCCGGCATCGCCCCTGTTGGGCASAGGGATCAGCCAAAGCGGGGACCCCTGCCCATCGCCCCCTCCCCTCTGCTCTGCCCCATTTGGGGAGRCCAATCAGCCCAGCCACGGTGACCCTTGGGGAGGGATTTCTGTCCCCAGAGTGTCCCCRCGCTCACCTTGGCTGAGCGGGTCGGTGCTGGCGGTGGGGCTGACGGTCACAGGGTCGGGGTGATGGCGCAGGAGCTCAGGGTCACCCGTGTCAGACCTGCTGGGGAGGGGACAAACCGGGCTGAGTGCCATGGTGGGGGACAYGGAGCCRCTGTCCCCATGCTCAGGGATGTCTGGCGGGCTCTTACCCCCTGTGCAAACACTCCTGGATCTCCGCCGTCCAGCAGCTGAGCTGCTGCTCATCCCCCGCCTCAAACAAAATATCGGTGGCGTTGGTGACCTGGGGGACATCGGGGAGACTTCAGAGAGAGAGACATGAGCATCCCCCTCCC